ACTTACTCTGCAGATATTGCACAACAATCGCCTAAAAACTTGTTTCACACTCCCTCAATTTAACAGAGAGTGAGAAAATTTCAAGAATGTGCAATGCTGCTAACATCTTTCATCGCTCCAAAATTTGTAGATTTTCGGAGCTTACGGGGTAGTAGGAACCGTTTCCGGTGGCTGGAAATTTTAATGTTTTACAGGTATATGCGGGCATTACAACTTTATGGAGAATAAATTAATTTGTATTTTCGCCATTTTCTGAGTATACATAATCGAATATGCTCTTTTGAATTAAAATAAAATGAACTCTGTGCAACTTCCGGTTATACCGGAAGTGACCACTAACTTCGTTATTTTAAAGGGAATACCCCATATTTTTTTTTAATTTTAGATTTAGCATGAAATTCTGTAAACAACGATACCCCATTTGCCTATTCTAGTTATAGCGGATTTGGCGTTATTCAATTTTTTTCTACATTTTTAGTCGCCGGAAGACATTTTCTTAAAGTCGTCTATCTCAGGTACTATATCTATCAGATACTTAAAATTTTAACCAGAGGTAGTAGATGGGATGTACTTCTTGAGAATATTTAGTTATTCATTATTTGTTGTACGGGGTGTTTGCAAATTATTTTTAAAAATGAAATTTTTTAAACATAAAAAACTTTTTTATTTTAAAGGGAACACCCTATATATTTTTTAAATTTTAGATTCAGCATGAAATTCTGTAAACAATGATACCCCATTTGCCTATTCTAATTATAGTGTATTTGGCGTTATTCAGTTTTTTATAAACTTTTATATGGCGGCAGACATTTGCTTTTTTAAATTTACTTGTACATCGTTTGTTCGACTGTGTGTTTGGAAATTATTTAAAAAAAAAATATTTTAAATGGAAAATCCTGTATATTTTTATTTCATTTTGTTCAGAAAATTATTCTTCATTGATCTTCATTTGCACTATTAATTCCCTATAATTATCTCTCGCCAATTTTAAGAAAATTTAAATTTAAATTTTACGCATGCATCTACATAATATAGTATAGTTTTACATTTAAATTTTTTATCTTAGTATGCCGTGGAAATATGCTAAACAACAATCTGTCAACAAACTGAATTGTCATATTTCTATGTATTTAAGTTGTGTATTTTTTGCGTTCAAAATATGGAAAATATGGAAAATATGGAAAATATGGAAACTATTGAAGAATATACCAACCAAGATATTCTTAATTTATTTTACATTCATGGAGAATGTAATCGAATCAAAAGTAGAACCTGCCGCATGTTTAATGAACGATACCCTCATTTACCACCAATGAACAGACAGAAATTTGATAGAATCGAAGCTAACTTTTTGAATAATTTTAAACAAAACCCGGGAAGAAACCGTCAACATTATGTCCGAGATGAAGAAGTTAATCTAATTAACGTATTAGGGTATTTTACTGCGTATCCTCGCGCCTCCATTAGAATGGCTCAAGATAATTTAAATATTAGTCGAGGGTCAATACAACGAATTTTAGCACTAAATAAATGGCATCCCTATGCACAAAGAAAAGTTCATGAGTTGCGAGATGGTGATCAAATAAGACGAACTGAATTATGCGAATGGTTATTGGTACGAATTCAAGAAGATCCCGAGATTTTAAACAAAATTTTGTGGTCAGACGAGTCGAAATTTACACGTAAAGGGATCATCAATCGCAAGCAATGTCATTTCTGGGCAAACGAAAATCCACATTTTTATCGTGAAGCACAATTTCAGTACGAATTTAGTTTTAATGTGTTTGCAGTGATCGGTTTTGGAAGAGCTTTTTATTACATTTATAATGAAAGACTGACCTCAGAAAGATACATTAGAATTCTTAGAGAAGTAGTTGCCGACATTTTAAACCAGCTACCAAATAATAATTTTTGGTACCAGTTGGATGGTGCCCCAGCACATTCAACATACTATGTAAATCAAGAAATTACAGCACTCTTTGAAGACCGATGGATAGGTCCAAATGGTCCTTGGCTTTGGCCTGCAAGATCGCCAAATCTAACTAAATATGGGGTCATATTAAAAATTTAGTGTACTCTACCCAAATTAATACTAAAGAAATATTAGAGCAAAGAGTTCGGAATGCCTTTAACGAGTTAGATGGTGAAATGATTCGTAAAGCAACAACTAATCATGTTGAAAAAAGATTGTTAAAATGTTTAGAAGCTAACGGGGGGCATTTTGAACATTTGATAAAATGATTTTTTTAAACCATGTGCTTTTAATAAAAATTGTTTTTAGTTAGTATGTACCTTATCATTAAAAAAATTTAAACTTTTTAAACGACATATATTGTTGCAGAAAACTATAAATGTTTTTAAAATTACATCCCATCTACTACTTCTGGCTAAAATTTCAAGTATCCAACAGAAATAGTACCTGAGACAGTCAACTTTAAGAAAATGCCTACAGGCGCGACGACTAAAAATTAAAAAAAATGAATAACGCCAAATCCGCTATAATTAGAATAGGCAAATATGGTATCATTGTTTACAGAATTTCATGCTGAATCCTAAATTTAAAAAATATATAGGGTGTTCCCTTTAAAATAAAAAAGTTTTTTATGTTTAAAAAATTTCATTTTTAAAAATAATTTGCAAACACCCCGTACAACAAATAATGAATAACTAAATATTCTCAAGAAGTACATCCCATCTACTACCTCTGGTTAAAATTTTAAGTATCTGATAGATATAGTACCTGAGATAGACGACTTTAAGAAAATGTCTTCCGGCGACTAAAAATGTAGAAAAAAATTGAATAACGCCAAATCCGCTATAACTAGAATAGGCAAATGGGGTATCGTTGTTTACAGAATTTCATGCTAAATCTAAAATTAAAAAAAAATATGGGGTATTCCCTTTAAAATAACGAAGTTAGTGGTCACTTCCGGTATAACCGGAAGTTGCACAGAGTTCATTTTATTTTAATTCAAAAGAGCATATTCGATTATGTATACTCAGAAAATGGCGAAAATACAAATTATTTTATTCTCCATAAAGTTGTAATGCCCGCCTTACGTGGGACACGATGTATATATTTTAATTTAATACAAAAATTAAATTCAAATATTTCAATTAAAGTTTTTATTTTTAAGTAAACTATATTATTTTTACAAAATACATTAAAAATATTTAGTAGATACAATAAATGTGGTACTATACTTTCAAAGCAATGATTGTATTTAAAAAAATTACATATTTTGGATGCAGTCCTTAATTTCTATCTCTGTTCATTGTTCTTAAAAACATATAATACGAAATCATTGTTTTGTATGCCTAAAAATTTATCAAAATAAAGAAAATTGAATTGCTGTAAGACGACTTCTGCATGTGAATACAATTCTGTAAAAGAGTATAAACCTGCATTTTATTTAACTGACTGATTTTTGACCCACACATCCAATAGGAAAAATTAATGGAAATGGAAACCCAAGAAACATCAAATAGGTAGGTATATCGTTTATTTAACAAAAAACAAATCACCATTAAGCTTTTGACTGTTATTGATTTGTTTGGATTAGCTGTAATATAAATTCAATTTTTTATATTATACCGGACCTAATTAATATAGAAACAAAATATCAATACTTGATCTAATCGACTGGGAGTTTGTTTAAACACAATAATAATTGTATTACTCTTTTACAAAATATTTTGGTTATTTCTCAGATTGTTGTAATATCTTACCTGTAGGCCGCTCATGAAACTCAAATTTATAACATTATAAGCATGAACATAAACTTTTCTCTGACCGATACAGCTAATCATAGTAATGATAGGTTTATTAAACCTTAAGTTCCTATACCATTGGCTATTAAAAGCCACTTTTTCCATTTTGTCTGCCTAAAAAGAGAAATGTCTGCTTTAGAATGAACGTGTGAACAAAAAAGATTGACACCCTCTTCCAAAAACTGTCTGGCTCTTGAAATTACAATAAATTTTGCTTTTCTCATAGCTCACTCTAGGTCTTTATAGAAAACTAAAGGCTGAGGATGTCTTTTAGTACCTATTCGTTTAGTTCCGCCATTATGAAAAATGGTTTGAGACAATTACATTTTGCATTGGATAGACTAACTTAATTTTTTTGATGTTTTTCATTTCTGAGTTATAATATCACTTTATGTATTTTTTCAATCTTTATAAATTCATGTGTTAAATCCCTTTATGTGAAAGAGATCATTTACTTACCTCTGCTGTAAGAAGTTGTCCAGGAACTATATAGTAGGCCACAAATTCATTAGTGAGGCTTATGATGTAGAATAGACTTTTGATAAATTCATTGAGTGGTTGACTAAAAAATAGAAGCGGTATAGGTTAATGACTTGTCCAAGTAATTTTTGTCTAGAAATTTTATTGAAAATATTTTTTTAACAAAGGTTATGTTCTTGGATTTTTGATTATCGGTTAGGTATAGACAAAGCAACTATTTTATTTTTGCATCTGATTGGATGTAAAAATATCTGATAAATGTTCAGTAATTAGGGCCACTTCCTGATATTGTCCCTAATCCAAACTTGGTAAACTCTTCTGATAGTAGGAATGAAACTAACAAATTTGTATTCCATCTACTGACTTTCCAAAGAGAGTAATATATCTCTTCATCTAGTGTGAGGCTCTGTAGATATGATTTTGATAGAGATTTTGTATTTTTCTTCTCAGTTTGTGCATTTTAAAGTTTAAAATAGCCTTACTTGATCTAAATTGTTGCAATCTTCTTCTTGCTTTTCATTTTTCTTATGTTCTATGATCTTAACTGGGTAGTTAATTTTTTTAGGAAATGGGTAAGTTCTTTGATGCTATTGCAAACAGTTTTTTGAAAAATATTAGGTAAATTTTTCAGTCTTATCTTTAAGTTGTTCAGTTATTTCTTTCATTATAAAAGATAATAATGTACTAATTAATGTTCTCTAGGATACATTGGTTTGAAAAATAACGTTATTTACTCAAAACTTACTTACCCACTTACAATAGCAAAAAATTCTATACAATTTGATAGTATGATGACTCCAGTAAATAGCAACAGTCCAAGAGATATAGTATTATTAATTTTTTTAACAAAACTAAAACAATATCAATAAATAAACAAGGCAAAGAGTAAATAAGTATAAAATACCTACTTTAGCAAAAAATTGTGATGTTCAATACACTTCTTCAATTTGATTCGTACCAATCTTTGATCTTCTTCGTTTACAAGTGTACTGGCTAACACTCTTTGAATTTCTTTGTTTAACATTTTAAACTGAATGGCCGTCAAAATTATCGTTGATCCGAAAAAGGTATCAAACGAAATACAACCACAATATATGATTACCATCGTGTATTGCTCAGCTGCAACTATTGGATAATAATAGTATTTATTTTCTGGTGTATAACTTTTAAACGGTAATGCCTAGAATGAAAAATAATCTAAATACAAAATATTAAGTAAAATCATGCAATTTGAAGCATTAGTCAGATCTGTGATGATATATGGCTGTAAAACCTTGGTCCAAATGAAAATTCTTTGAGCTAAACCTAAACCAATAAAACATATTAATATTACAAACCCCTTGTTGCAGTAACGGCCTCAATATAATCATTAAAGATGTTGGTATGGCAAGTGCTAAAAAATAGCCCAAGATAGTTTTCAGATACCACAAGTACTTCAAAATTTGCTTTTTTTCTTTTTCATCTTCCAGTTCATTGACGTTCCAAAATTGCTTGCCATCTTTTAATAAATCGATTATTTTATCATGCTGTTTATAAAACCACAAAAGTTTAATTGAAATCTTAAATAAGAAAAGCTATTAATAATAACTTCGTTAGAATTAAATGTCAATTTGTATAAAGAAGAAGGCCCCTCACAAGTGGCAATAAACTAATCTCAAACACTTTGTATAATGTAAAAGGTCTTTACAAAAACATACCACATATTCCTTAGACCAAAATAAGTCGATTTAAGTAAAATTACCTTAGTACAAAGTTGCTTCGTTTGGGCTCCAGAGGGCCTTGAAGTTACAACTTTTAAATCGTTTTTCCCATATAAATTTAAAACGGCATATGCGATTTTGCTGAAATTTAGTATATTGGTAGAGTTTTATGTGGCAAAAAAATGGTATTTAAATTTTGTCCGATAATAATACATAGGCGTAGAACTTGATTTTTTAAATAATTGCACCTTTAAAAATTCTACGCCAATGGAAGAAAAGGAGTTTGAGTATGAAATTTAGATTGCGCAACTCATTTAGTTTAAAAAAAGTACTCTTGATAAGACTCGATTACTCTCATGGTTTTGACGAAATTTGCATTTTAGTAATTTTAGAACATAAACAATAATTATTAAAATATAAACTTTGTCAAAACCATGAGAGTAAATCGAGTGTTATCAAGGGTGCTTTTTTGTAGTAAATGAGTACCCAATCCAAATTTCATACTCAAACCCCTTTTCTGCCATTAGCGTAGAATTTTAAAGGTGCAATTATTTAAAAAATCAAGTTCTCTACGCCTATGTATTATTACCGGACAAAATTTTATACGATGAAAAACATAAAAATGTACTTTTTTCATGTCTTCTTCAACACCTCTAATCGAGACTTTTAACAAAAATACTCGATTCTTGCCATGTACGATTTTTTGAGAAATATTAATTATTTGCCTGCAATACGTATACAAAAACATTTATTGTTGGTTTCTATAGTTTCATCTAAATAAAAATATCGTCAAGTTTTAACACCTAATCTCTTGTTAACGATTGAAAGTGTTCTATCTGACTCAATAATTAAAAAAACAAATGTGTGGTTTATTAATATGGCTGTACAATATACCAATGCAGAATATACCGATATGTTACTGACATTAGGATTTTGTGAAGGAAACGCTCGAGAGAGTGTCAGAGAGTACTCTGACAGGTTTCCAAATCGTCGTGTACCTAGCCACCCAACTTTTGCTGCTGTTGAGAGACGTCTTCGGGAGACCGGTTCCTTTGCTCCCAACACTGTTGATAATGGAAGAGAACGTTTTGCAAGGATTCCTGAAGTTGAAGAAGACGTTTTAGAACGTGTTGAAGAAGATCCAGAATTAATCACCAGACGAATTGGAAGGGAACTAGGAGTAAGTAAAGATGTGGTTCATAAAGTGCTTGATGAACAATTGCTATATCCATACCATAAGAAGCCAGTACAAGAATTATTAGTCCATGATCCTCAAATTCGTTTGGGTTTTTGTCGATTTGTTAATATGCAAAGAGAAAGAGATCCAAACTTTGTCAAGAAGGGTCTCTTTACCGATGAAGCGTGTTTTACAAGAAGAGGTATAACTAATACCCATAATGAACATGTTTATGCCGTTGAAAATCCGCATGCAATAAAGGTAAACCATTTTTATCACGAATTCAAAATTAATGTGTGGGCTGGAATAATTGGTAATTTCATTGTTGTCCTGTCATACTTCCACGAAGATTAACTGGAGAAAATTATTTGGATTTTCTACAAAATACGTTGCCAGAATTGTTAGAAGATTTACCTCTCCAACTTCGGAGAGATATGTGGTTTATGCAAGATGGAGCTCCACCTCATTTTTCTTTAAACGTTAGAAACCACTTGAATGAACAATATCCACACAAATGGATAGGCAGAGGTAATGACGCACCTGTAAACTGGCCACCACGTTCCCCAGACCAAACACCGATGGATTACTTTTTATGGGGACATCTGAAATCCATAGTTTACAATGAACCTGTAGAAAATGAGGAACAACTCTGGCAACGTATTCAAGATGCAATAAACAATCTTAGAGGTGATGAAGAAGTTATGGAAAGGATACATTTTAATTTTCTTCGACGTATAAATCTTTGTATGCGTGAAAATGGTGAACATTTTGAACAATTTTTGAAAATGTCTATTTTGATTATGTTGTAAATAAATATTTTTGTGAAACCTATACACTCTAAATTATTAAAACAGAAATTTAGCGAAAACCATAAGAGTAATCGAGTCTTATGAAGAGTACCTTTTTTAAAGTAAATGAGTTGCGCAATTTAAATTTCATACTCAAACTCCTTTTCTTCCATTGGCGTAGAATTTTTAAAGGTGCAATTATTTAAAAAATCAAGTTCTACGCCTATGTATTATTATTGGACAAAATTTTAATACTATTTTTTTTTCCACATAAAACTCTACCAATATACCAAATTTCAGCAATATCGCATATGTCGTTTTAAATTTATATGGAAAAAACGATTTAAAAATTGTAACTTCAAGGCCCTCTGGAGCCCAAACGAAGCAACTTTGTACTAAGGTAATTTTACTTAAATCGACTTATTTTGGTCTAAGGAATATGTGGTGTGTTTTGTAAAGACCTTTTACAGACACCCTGTATAATAACATCGTGCTAAACATAAAAAACAAAAATATATAAAAAATATAATAATATAAAAAGGATTAAAATACTAAAAAACACTATACAATCTTATTAATAAAATATATGGATTCTTTTTTTCTTGTTTCTTTTTATCACTTTTTTATCTACCTTTTTTCCCATTCATCTTTCTTTTATTAACTATTTTTCCTTTCTAATCTGTCTCTATGAAGTTACATTATTGTTAAATTCTTCTCTTAAGATATATCTTTTTCGTTAAAAAGGAAAAAGAAGAAGAATTAAATTACATTGTTATTAAACATGACTAATGTGCATTTTAGAGCATAACAGCTTTGGATTGAATAAAATATGTTTACGAATTATAGTAAACAGAAGTCACTTACATGTACGCAAAACATTAAAGCTTGCATGCCCTCTGTAAAATCTAACAATTTTAAATTTTCTTCATAGATAAACAGCGCGATAACTAGACTTATGGTTGTAGCAATTGAACAAAGAGAAATCAGAAGTAAAACAGTTTGAATAAAAGTTCCATGATAACTAGGATGAATCCCAACTAGGTACACCAATTTAAGAACAACTTTAATGTTCCAGTGATCCATCTCGAAAACTTGCCATCAAACTAATTAGGAAGAAAGAATATGGCCATAAATAAAATATTTTGTCGTGAAATGGTTTTAAACTGAATTTTAAATAACTGCGATTATATAGAAGCTTACTTTCAACTACTAATAATTATGTCTGTATTGAAAGTTTTGAAGTTGTTCTACGGGAAAGTTTCTTTCAATTATTTTTAGTTCTTTACGTGAAGTTATCTTTAGGAAAGCTATAATTTCACAATACCTAATTTGCAGTGTCATATATAATGGACAAGTCCATTTTTTTTTTTTTTTTTAGCCAAAATGAGTTTTCTACGTGAATATATATTTTTAACGATTACTGATCGTTTGGTGCAAAAAACAGCCATGTCCGAAAAATAATAAAGCTTTTATATGCTCTTGGGACCTAGCCGCCCTTAAACCATAGAAATAATATAGAAGACCAATATAAACATAACATTTAAGCAGAAATTGAAACCTACTGTGTATAAAAACGCGTCTCTGCGCCTGACATCGCAAAATAGTGTGTCTAGAAGCTTGCGCAATATGCATGACTTGTCCCTGTAGTGTTGCCAAATATATTAAACATACCTAACAGAAAAGAATTTTAAATTAATTAATTTTTAAATTATATGATTTAAACAGTTTATATCTACAAAATATCGCCACAAAATAACTTATACACATTTAAATAATCAACTAATAATATTTATGTGTAATTACATTCCCAAAAATATATACAAATACCGTATTAATGTCATTAATACCGTATTTTTAATGTTCAATAAGCGATTCACCTACAAATTCAATATTGACCTGGCAATAGCACTAAAATCCGGTGTTTCAAGGCTATATGACGCTGCCCTTACAGGACCGTTTGTAGTTTATTATTTATGCCGCGTTTGAGAATCCACATCGGATGCATCTGAGATGTAGTAAGTAGTAAATCTTTGATCACGTGATTCAGTATACGTAAATGTAATGGGACAGATGTGTCCGATGTGGATAAAAAACGCTCGAGATGTAAAAAATGCATCCGATGTGGCATTTTATTTTTAGTTTTGTGTAGTGTTTAGTCAAATCCTAGGTACAATAAAAGACATTATCGATATCGGTTTTAAGGCATTTTAAAACATAAACCCGATCTCAACAATCTTAGGAACTCTTCTGTCACTCGATATTTTAATCGGTACTTCCTCTTCGCTTTTTGGCTAGTACAACAATTATTTACATTTCTTCATTCCTTACCGCGTTCGAACCAGTAAGGTTTAAAGAAATTTAAAAAAAAAACCTACTTTAAAAATAAAGATGTTAATGATTTTCTTATGGATCCCATCTTCAGATCTTGACTTAATGTATATAAAACTGTTTCCTTTTCTAACAAAAATAATCCTAGAAATCGGGCAACGTGGTAAAGAATTATCGCTCAACATACATAAAAAAATATTTCAACGAATTGAGAATATCCTACCATTTTGAAGTATGTTAAAAAAAAATTGTTAATAAAGTGAAAAGTAGGGCATGAACATATATTATAAAGTATATAAAATGATAGATAAATCCAGTTTAGAAGGTATTATAAATAAACTGTGGAAATATCGAGAATCTCGATTTTGAATCGGAAAAATATTCTACGCAATTTAGTATGAAAGCTGATCAAAATGAAACACATGAACGACAAACTGTTAATGACAACTTTCTTCAAACGTTTTCTATTTTTCCGAAAACTAACTAGATAGTTCGAAAATCATTTCCTTCGTTAAAACGCCTCTTGTTCTGAAAAAGGTACACGCCTGCCAACATTCATCGTTCATTAAAAAAGTGGTAGATACAAAACGCTTCGTATTGTAAGGCCAAAATATATTTAGAAATCGAAATAGTCATATAAACAAAAAAATCATATGAGTGAGATAACTACCAAATTAATGATTTACAAGTTTATTCCTATTATTTATAAAATAGGTTTGCAATGTGCTGGTGTGGAATGTTATCATCGACTAAAAACTTTAAATCTTTATATTAAATTGATCGAAAACAAACTATAAATTGGTTTAGGCTATATAGAATGTTTCTAGTAAGCAGCAACTAATTTTTATTATGGAACCGAAAGACCCTTTTAAAAAGGTTCAAAATTAAAATAAAATATGTACCAAGTAAATGTAGTAGTATTTTTTAATTTTTTAATTTATATTGAAAATGGTAACATGAAAGGTTTTCTGTCTAACGACTCATAGTCTCGGCTGATAAAATGTAAAAAAATATCGAACATAATATTCCTGGGCCCTATTTTGCACTCCCCAGATTAAATTTAGTTGTAGCAAATGATATTATCAAATAAGATGGCAAATCACAAGCAAAATCTCGTGACTACAGTACTAATGATTGCCTGTTTGGAAAAGTATCTTTGTTTGTAAATATTTATATGCATAGTTATATTTAAATGCGCGAGTGTAATGTTAAGTATAAACAAAATCCGCCCATTATGTATATACGTTTAGTTACCGACCCTAGTATATAGGCAATTTGTTATTGTTTTAAGTTTTACCGTAGGGAGAGAGAAAATCAATATTAGGATAAATGGTCCAGCTCCTTTCTGGTTACGTAGGTACCTAAAAAGTATTTTAGTTTTTGGTTAAGTAATTAATTATTGTAACAGTGATTTTCTTGTGATAGTACCTAATTTAGATTGTGGATTAAAGTTTTTGTATATAATTTCGCTGTTTAATAATAAACGTAGTCAAAACCGAAGCACGTGGTTTTTCTGGAAAGTATTTTTAAAATCATAAGCAAAATCTCATGACTACTGTACTAATGATTGCCGAAAATTAACTAATTCATATTTTATGCCATATCTTTCTTAATAAGGACTGTCAGAACCATATTTACCTTAACTTGAAATTTTTTTAATCGTTTTTTGTATAGAATCATCTCTAAAAATGTATGATTGAAATATCGTGCGAACTATTTGTTCGAACAATAAAAAACTTACACCGGTCCTGTTCGCGCCAGCACCGTTATACGCATGAGCTCCGACACACTATTTTCTCCTTATGGTTTCATTTTTGATATATGGAATCGGCTTTCTATACTATTTCTATGACAGATACATGGAAACGAAATATTAGAAAATCGAAAATTGCTGCAGGCGAGGAATATACTACTGTGAAAGATAAAATGATAGAAGAATAGTGGGTAATGGTTGCGAATGTAGACAAAAATGTTACTCCAGGATTAAAATAGAAGAAAGAAACCAAGTATTGGCAAAGAAAAGAATGTTTCTTATTTTTACAAGGTGATCCTGTAGTGCATTTTAATTTTTAAACACAGTAATAAAAATATATTTTGAATTTTGTAGGTTCGAGTCAGTGGCGTTGAAATCGTTGTGTGCAGAAAGGCTTTTTGCGCTATTCACGGCATAACAAAACATCGAGTAAATCGCATAGCTTAGAATCTGAAATAGAACATTTCGGCACCACCAGATATGAGAGGAAAGCATGCATGTCGTCCAAACAAGATATTCAGAAATATAATCGCTTCTATTGATAAACACATAATGAGTTTTCCTCGTCGCTCATCTCACTATAGTAGAGAAAAAAAATAAGGGAAAACTTATCTTATCTTCTGAACATTACAAGGATGCACAACTTATACCTGAAAAAATACGAGCCTGTAGTTTTTGAAAAAGTGATTTGGGTAGCAAAATGCAAACCAAAAGTTTCGTACGACTATTACTATCGCCAAAACTTTAATATAATCTTCGTTTACCTCCGATTAGACACCTGCCAAACTTGTGACAGACTAGAAAATGCTATACATGCCCAACAAGATCATGAAGCAAAATTAGCTCTTCGCGTCCAATTAGAGGTACTTGGATTACATGCAACATTTTCAGATGCTTATTCCTTTTCAATTTATTTAAAACATTGGACATTGTTATTGTTTATATACAGGGTGTCTGTAAAAGGTCTTTACAAAAACTTACCACATATTCCTTAGACCAAAATAAGTCGATTTAAGTAAAATTACCTTGGTACAAAGTTGCTTCGTTTGGGCTCCAGAGGGCCTTGAAGTTACAATTTTTAAATCGTTTTTCCCATATAAATTTAAAACGGCATATGCAATTTTGCTGGAATTTGGTATATTGGTAGAGTTTTTTTTTACAATCATATAGATGAAAAACAAGTATTTAAACTTTCTTGTGATAAATGTCCGGGTAGTTCGGCCTTAGAGCGGGCCCTAGTAATAGTAGTTTTTTTAATTCACATTATAACATCTATAAAACATTTCAGAATAACTTTCGGAGGAAAGTACTGTAAAACCACTAGTGTGATGTTCTTCTAACTTTGCTTTGTAACCTATATGAGATGTGTTATAAAAGTCTTGCAGTGGCGAACATTCGGTGGTTGCATGGATGTTAGAGTTGCATTAAAAGTACTTAAAATTAAACTTTCCTGTATTTAATGATTTTTTCCTACGATAAATTGATTGAATTCCAAAAATTACTTTTATTTGCGCCAACCTGTATATTTACATAATATCTAATAATTAACAATCACATTAATAAATCGAATGATTTATCTACACGGTTTTAAGTATGTAACGTAATTTTAATTTAAAATATAAAGCTATTGTCACTATCGAAGATTCGTTGATAATCAACATTAATCAATTTCAAATGCCATCTAATAATTATAATCGCAGTCATAATTTTTTAGTGACGTCGACATCAGCGAAGGCAAATATCCGCCTGGTAGTTTCGTAATATATTTTTCTGACTAACTGTAATCATGTAAATTCAAAAGTTTTTCATCAATTTAAATACTAAAACATTAACGCCATTTAAGAGAGTCTCAGAGTGAATTAAACGAATTTATAAATAATCAATGGTTTATAATACCAGGTTAACATTAATAAGTGTTATTTTCTTTGTTACAGTGATGAAAAGTTAACTAATCGGCATTATTTGAGGTTAGGAGTTCCTGTATCCATGTAAGTATTATTTTTATACATCTCGATGTCTATACGCAATCGC